TGAGGACTAGCAGGCCTGCTGTTGCACCTCAAAATTTTACCAGAAAAGAAAATCCGGCTTTTGCATACAACTGCGATTTTTGCAGCTAATATCCAAAACCCACAAACGAGTGCTATTGCGTGGCTGAGCCAAGTTTTAGTAATTATATGATGGGCTAGATGATATAAGGCACATGTGGACAATCGACGGCCCGCGAAGGAAATCGGAATATGGTGCCTAACTAGACGGACGCGGTTGGTACTCGGCTACGCCTCTGCACTCTCATGAAAATAAAAGAGAAATAAAGTACGCACAAGACTAACAAACGATAGTCTGGAAAATACTTTGAGACTCTGTGTCAGTGTTATAAATCTAGATTTCAACAATCTTGTGTCAAAGTTCAAGCCCAGAGCTCACACTGACCTGCTGCTGTCTATTTTACTGCATGAGCAATCCGACAAAAACATATTTGTTTTTATGCGTTTTTGCATCGGATGCAAATGCAGAAACGCATAATATTAGGCGCATTTCTGCGTATGTGTTTCCAGGAGCGAATGAACTTTGTCAACCACTTTCAACTCAGCAACGGGAAGAGTCACGATGCAACACTACCGTCCCATCCGACACCCTTTTCCCTCGCATGCAAGAAAAGACCAAAACACAGGCACATGAGTTGCACATGTTAAACTGTAAAGCTGCAACTATTCATAGTGTTAACGATCTGACTGCGTCAAGTTTAGAGCGAAAAAACATGATTGCGCGGGGACTCCAGTGCGTTGCTGCCTGGGTTTTATTAAAAGGTGGCCCATGAGCTTAAATAAGCATGCAAATCAAGCTTGCATGTTGCCAAAGGTTGCCGGTGCCTAATCTAAGGGGACAGGAATTAATAAAACTCGGCCGCCATGGCGGAGTTGGAGTGCGATTTGCAGTGCGGAGAGTAGAGGAGAGGTCTGGGATGGTGGCATAGGCCTCAAAAGTCGTAACAGAAAAGGGGGAGGGAGGTTTGGGTCATTAACTGAAAAGAAGGTGTAATCTTGCACAGAGGTAGGGGTTGGCAACAGGGACGAATTTTATGGGGGAAGAGTCTATCCAATTTTTTGATGCTGAGCATGAAACTTGATGACGAGAGGAAGCTAAGCAATCTCGATTGGGACCTCGTCTACGCAAAAAAAACGACACTGCGATTCTCGCATCTCGAAGCTGAACCTAAAAACAAGTGCACATTGCATGG